TATTCCTCTAATTGCTCATCAAACGAATAATCTTCAAAATTAAATGAGCTAGAGGTTACCTGAGAATCTTCCCTGAATGCCATCAAGCACAAGTTTGCTACTTCTTGTTCCTCTTCATCGGAACCTTCTTCATCGCTCCATGTAGCCACATGAGCCTTGTGCTTCTTCTTGGATTGGCCTTTTTTCTTTAATTGTGGGCAATCGTATTTGACATGCCCTAGCTTTTTGCATTCGTAGAAAATGATCGGGTCATTCTCCTTTGGTTCAGTTTTGAAGCCTTCATTTCGTTTGAATTTTCTTCCTTGGTTGGGCCTCATTAATTTTCTGAACCGTTTGACAAATAATGACATTTCCTTGTCATCGTCATCTTCATCCGAATCACTCTCATCTTTTGTGGATTTGAGAGTAAATCCAACGTTCTTCTTCTTCTTCTTCTTCTTTGGTATCTCATCAGTCTTATCGAGGTCTACCTCATCTTGAAGCATCATTTCATGAGTGAGAAGTGAACCGATTAGTTCTTCAAGGGTTAAGGACTTTAAGTTCTTAGCCTCGATGATAGCCGTCTTCTTTGATTGCCACAATTTTGGAAATGAGTAAACCAACTTCCTCATAAGTTTTTCATTTGGAATGATCTCTCCATATGATTTGAGACCATTAAAAATCATGGAAAATCTATCCGTCATAGCTTTGATGTCTTCATCCGGTTGCATCCTGAAATTTTCATAGCTATGAGTTAAAAGACTAATTTTTGATTTTTTTTTACCTCGTCGGTGCCTTCATGAGTGAGTTGTAGTTTATCCCATATTTCCTTGGTGGTTGTACAAGATGAAACTCTCCCGTATTCATCCGGTCTAAGAGTACAAAAGATAATATGGATGGCTTTGGAGTTGAGTTGGAACATTATTGTTTCTCCTTCACTCCACAATCTTGATGAGTGGAAGGTTTGAAGTATCCGTCTTCTATAATATTTCATGCTCCCATGTCACTTTCTTGAATGAAATACATCATTATATTCTTCCAATATGCATAATTAGCTCCATTGAAGAAAGAAGGCTTGTTAACAGGAAATAAATCAAGACCGAAGTCGGAGTTTGAAGTGGAGGCCATTGATGACTTGATTTTTGATGTAACTCTTCCCGGATCTACTCAAGAGGCGATTAAACCTTCAAATGATTCAAGCTCTGATACCAATTGTTGATTTAATCGATCGATGGAATAAGCCAAGAGGGGGTGAATTGGCAATAAAAATTTCGGTGGAAGTTTTTGCAGAAAATAGAAAATATTTGCATAGCGATTTAGAGTGGTTCGACTTTCTCAACCAAAGTCTACGTTCACTACCTTAGCTATCCACACTAAGGATTTTCCACAAATTCACTAATTTGTCTTTCTTTTGAGGACAAAGAGTAACCTTACAAATCCCTCAATAATTATACCCCAAATTCTTGAGAACACTCTCTCCCAAAGAGAACAATACAAATTTTGCAAACTTACAAGAAAATCATCACAAGGAAGATGTTTGTACAATTCTAGAACAAAGAAAGAATACTCAAGAATAATACAATTGAGCACAATATGTGTTCCTGAAAGCAAAAATGAATATTGAATGAAATAGGCTTGAAAATGCTCAAACTTGAGGTTTGATGCTTTCTCTTTGATTCTCTCTTGATTCTTGTTGATTGTTGTTTCTTGTTTTTGATCAATGGCTTTTAAGCTTGTTTAAATACTCGTTCAATTGATTCTGAACGTTGGGGATGATTAGTGGAGTCAATGGAGCCGTTTAAGTGTGAAAACAATTAATAAAATTGCTTGGAGTGTGGGGGGAATCGGTACCCCCTCATAGGGAATCAATTCCCTTAGTGTAAAATTCAAATATTTCGACCGTTGAACAGGGGGAATCGGTACCCCCTTAGGGGGAATCGGTTCCCTCCGAGCATTCTGTTATTTCTCGGAACCAAACCATTCAGGGGGGAATCGGTACCCCTTGGGGGGAATCGGTTCCCTCCGAGCATTCTGTTATTTCTCGGAGCCAAACCATTCAGGGGGAATCGGTACCCCCTTGGGAGGGAATCGGTTCCCTCTGGGCAATCTGCCCATTTTGGTTTGATTTTAATTAAGAAATGATTTTTGACTCGATTAAGGCTCGAAATACTTTGTAAATTTGTTTAACATATTTTTACACTTTAGTAAGGATTAAAAAGAATTTTGAAAGACTTGGAGTAATATTTTGATATTCGAATAATTATATCGAATATACTTTAGAAAACCTTTTGTAAAATCTTAAAATTCATTTAACTTAATTTGTTATATCGAAACATCAAAATGTTTTCAACAATAACAAAACAAAATTTATAACAAAACTTTTTTTCTAAAAAATTGAATAACTCAAGCAATAATATATGCTATTAAATTTAAAGCACACTAAATTTATCACCCTTTTAATATAGGTCAATCTCTTAGTGCACAATTTTTCATGCTAAGTCCACCGAGAATCTTATCAGTATAAACTTTTATTAAAGATGGACAAAAAATTTTGTGCTAGGAGATGAATTTTAAAAATTTTAAAGGAAGACTGTGTCAAACGTGAAAGAAATATATGTTACCTTTTTCTATTAGAAATTTACTATATAAAAATTAATTTAGTTTTATAGGCCAGACCATATCACTTTTTTCTAGTAGAATGTCATTTACAAATAGTAGTATGATAAAAAAATTATCCAGTGAACTTTATACGCATGGGCTACTAATCAACTATATTTTCCTTAAAACCAAAAGAGGTTATGGTACTAATCAACTATATTTTCCTCAGTTTTAAATAATTTATCTTTAATTTTTTAACTAATTTATAATTATACGTTGAGTCGTTTAGAATTTAAATTTTTACAAATTAAATTAATGGTGCTCGTCGTTAGTTATGTTCATCGCTACTCGTCGAGCATTGTAGAATTTTCCTATAAATGTATATGTTCAAGTCTACGTCCTCTAGAGAAACTTCCTATTTTAACCACCTAGATCACTCAATAAATATTAAAATATCAAAAATACAACCAAAAATAAATTATTTTGCAATTTTAAATAATTTAAAATAAAGTAAGTGAAATTAAAATTTTGATTTTTTAGAATTTGTGATTAATTATGTTATTTTATATTTTATGATTTATTTATATTTTCTAAATTATTTTACATAAAACTTAAAAATAAAATAGATTTACATCATAATAGAATAATAATAAAGGGATAAAATAAATAAAATTATCTTAACTATCTATTTTCACTCGTCCACCAACTTTACATATGTGTAAAACTAAATGATTTTACATTTTATAAGTTACATATCCTATATAAAATTAATTGTTATTGTAACATTAGTTTTATGGTGGATTATCTTTCTAAACAATAGAATTAATGATTATTATAATCATTCATAAGACAATGAGAGGATCTATTTAGGTAAGCTAAAAGGTAACTGTAAAGAAAACATAAACTAATTAAATCATTGCCCTAAACATATTAGTATCTGTATATTTCGATGTATCATTTCAGTATATTATTTCGATCTTATCATCATTTTCTAAATATTTTTCATACATATTATATATAAAAGTTAATTGCATAATATGTCCATAAACTATAATTCTTTTTTAAATTGATCTTAAAACTTTTGAATATTTTAATTTCATTTCTAAATTACGACTTTCATTCTAAATTAGTTTTTAAACTTTTGAATATTTTAATTCAATCCCTAAACTATGATCCTTTTTAAAATTGGTCTCCGTATTTTTTAATATTCCAATATCATCATTAAAATTATCCAAATATGTAATAGTTTCAATCGTAGTTTAACATAAATTTTTTTTCAAACATATAATAATATAACTTGGTCAAACGATTTTATTAACAAGAGACGTAATTAATATATATATATAGTTTGAGATGAAATTGGAATGTTAAAAAAGTTTAGGGACCAATAAAGAATGAAAGTCTTGGTTTGGGGATGAAATTGACATGCTCAAAAATTTGAGGACTAATTTAGAATGGTAATCATAGTTTAGGGATGAAATTTGAATATTTAAAAGTTTAGGAACCAATATAAGGGCTATACTTTGAGGACATATGATGCAATTAACTCTATATATAATATAAATAAACTTTGATTGCATACACCTAAATAAATATATTTATATTAAAATATAAATCTTAAAATTGTAAATTAAGTTCATTAATTTAATTAAATGGTTACATTTTATTTTAAATAATAAAAATGTAAAATTAATGAAAATATTAAAATATTATACATTTATACTGACTGGTACGAGAAGGTATACACAAGTTGAAATTTTACCAAAATAATTTAAAACATACTAAAAATATTAAAATACACTAAAAAATTTAATCAGATCAATACCTAAATTATTTGATATTAATTTAAAATTGATATAAATTGATACCAATATGATATTGACTGCTATAATGAAGAATTAAGTGCGAAAATGAGTATGTTTGTGAAAATAGAAACTTTAATGAATTAATTTCTATTCAAAAAAACTCGAATAAAATATAGATAAAAACATATTTATCTGCATCGATACACAAATAAAAAAAAGATCAAATTACGGAAAGACCATTGACAAGATGTAAACCAACAATAATAATTAATCTTTATGAAACAATTTCTTCAAATAATAAACATTCAATTATGGAATATAAACACTGGAAATAGCCCCTCACTAAGCACTCTAAAACGCAAGCCTTTTCCTTTTCTTTTTCATTTCGACAATGACATGAAAATCATAAATTAAAATTCTTTCAAAGTAATTGGCATTGATTCCATTCCAATCTATAAACATCAATAATACATTTACCAGAAAAAAATAGTTTTTTACATTTTCTTTTGGGTTGGATGATTTTAATTATTATTCTTCTGTCCATGTCAAATCAAAGCAATTATCTTTACCTATAAAATGAGGTCCAAGGCATGGCCTTTCCCCCCCCCCCACAGATAATCTCCTCTCCTCCACTGCAAACAAACATAAACTACACATTATTGCTTTGCTTTTCCTTGAAAATGGATGAGAGAAAAGGAAAAGAAAAGAGAGAAATTGCAGTTGGTGAGGATGAAGAGAGATGGGTTTATGATTCTTCTGTTGATCATAAAGGAAGAGTCCCACTCCGAGCTTCCACCGGTGCTTGGAAAGCTTCCCTCTTCATCATCGGTATGATATAAATACATATATGTTTGATTCTTTTAACACACAAATTTGGTTTCCATGAAAACGTTTTCAAACCATTTCTTTCTCTTTCTTCTTTCATTTAGCTGTTGCTGCATTCTAAGTAGGGTTGTGAAGATTACATGCTACCTTTAATCGGTATAATCATCACATTTTATAGATTAACAAATAAGGATAAACGATTTCGATTAACCGATCTGAACTGTTTAAGTTAAAAATACAGTTAACCGGTGGTACCCCAATGGCTAAGCTAATGATGACTTCGTTTTGAAGGGGATCAAAGTAGGGCGGATGCATTAAGTCCGTAAGGGCTAAATACATCCATTATCTTTAAAAAACAGTTAAATTTAATTTAATGTGTTAAGAAAAAAAAATTGCATACCCGTTATTTAAAAAAATTAAAATTTTATACCTCTATTATTAAATTTTTTGATCCGCTGCTGGATCAAAGGTTGTGGTTCAGTTTCACCATTAAATTCTTTCTTAGGCCATTATTTACATTTAGAATATCAGTACGTGTAAGAAAGTCGGTTTCACTTGAAGCTCATCCAACTGGTCCTTATTACAAATATAGGAATATTATTACAAGTTCCCATCTAGGAACAAAGTTGGCCATACATGGAAACAGTATCCAAATGTCGTATACAAAGGTATAAGAGATGAAAATAAAGGGCTTAAAGTGGATGGGGGCCACTGCAGCACTGAATAATATGACCACGGAGCTTGTATGAACCATAAAACCCTAATTCAAACATCAGTGGGAGCAGCACTATTGTTTGACCCTATTTTATGCAAAATGGGCTGTTCTGTTCTTTTGTACGTCTTTCACCTTTGATGTATTTGACGATTTCCAGGCTTTGGGTTCTCATTTGGGGTTTGTGTAAGACCACATCAGAGAATCTTGATGATATTCTTGAATAGACAGATTTGTTCTATTCTACCCCAAACAGTCATAATCCTTTGCAGTACTGCTATAAAAGAAATGGCCCTACTGCTTTTTTTAATCAAACTGTAACCTTTAATTTGCAGCAACAAGAACAAATGCCAAAACTCCATATCATGTCAACAATTTGATGTTGTTTTCTCTTTCGAGTCAGCTTGTGACTTATTCGAATATAGCATGATATTATAGCAATGGTTTTGAAAGACTGATTGATTCTTTTGGGGCAGCAATTGAGTTCAGTGAAAGGCTGAGTTACTTTGGGATAGCGACAAGTTTGATCATTTACCTCACTAAAGTGATTCACCAAGACCTCAAAACAGCGGCCAGGAGTGTCAACTACTGGGCTGGTGTCACCACATTGATGCCACTCTTTGGCGGCTTCATTGCTGATGCTTACTTGGACCGGTTTTCCACCGTTCTTGTTTCGTCCATCATCTACCTTCTGGTAAATCTTGTTTCCTAGTTGAATTCTTGTTTAATTCGATTGATTCGTGTTTGTAAATTACCGGTTACTCTACATTCTTTGTTGGTAATAAACAGGGTTTGATTCTCTTGACAATGTCCTGGTTTGTACCATGCTTAAAGGCATGTGATGGAGATGTGTGTACCGAGCCGAGGAAGGCTCATGAAGTGGCCTTCTTCCTTGCTATATACTTGATCTCCATTGGAACGGGTGGCCATAAACCTTCGTTGGAGAGCTTCGGAGCTGACCAGTTCGACGATGATCACCCGGAAGAGAGAAAGAAGAAGATGTCCTTTTTCAATTGGTGGAACTCTGGTCTTTGCCTAGGACTCTTATTGGGCGTCACTGTAATTGTTTACGTTCAAGACCATGTCAATTGGGGCATCGCGGATATTATTCTGACCATAGTGATGGCATCCTCGCTGTTAATCTTCTTCATCGGAAGGCCGTATTATCGTTATAGGAAGGTATCCGGAAGCCCCTTAACGCCGATGTTACAGGTTCTCATAGCCGCCATTTCTAAAAGAAAACTGCCTTACCCTCCCAATACTGCAGAACTGTATGAAGTTCCCAAGTCACAAATGGCTCAGGGGAGGCTTTTGTGCCACACCAAGAAACTTAAGTAAGGAAAACTTCGTGTTGCATGTCAAATTTTTTTATAACACAAATTAGCCGACTAATCCAGATCGAGTTCATATTTATAACTAATGATGGTGTGCCTTCAGGTTCCTTGACAGAGCTGCCATTATTGAGGACAAGGGTAATTCATCTGAGAAACATGGTCCATGGAAACTTGCAACAGTGAACAAGGTTGAGGAGATGAAGCTTGTTATCAACATGATTCCCATATGGTTGACTAGTTTACCATTTGGAATCTGTGTAGCCCAAGCTGCCACATTCTTCATCAAACAAGGAGCCATCATGGATCGAAAGATTGGCAATTTCGTGATCCCACCTGCCTCGATCTACGCTCTAGCTGCCATTGGAATGATAATATCAGTAACGATATACGAAAAGATCCTCGTACCGGTACTAAGGAAAGCGACGGGAAACGAACGGGGCATGACTATTCTCCAGAGGATTGGCTTTGGAATGCTTTTCTCAGTCAGTACAATGATAGTTGCAGCCCTGGTGGAGAAAAAGAGATTAGCTTCAGTTAAAAGTGAACCACTAAATGGCTCCCTGTCCGTGAGTGTATTCTGGTTAGCACCACAGTTCCTCATCATCGGAGCGGGAGATGGGTTCACCCTGGTCGGCTTGCAAGAGTATTTCTACGACCAAGTCCCGGATTCCATGAGAAGCTTAGGCATTGCATTCTACCTCAGCGTGATAGGAGCTTCGAATTTCGTCAGCAGCGTGCTGATAACACTCGTCGATCACGTCACCGAGAAAGGAGGCGAAAGCTGGTTCGGCAAAGACTTGAATAGCAGCCGCTTGGACAAATTTTACTGGCTATTGGCAATCTTGACAATGGCGAACTTGTTGGTTTTCGTCATCGTGGCGAAGCGTTACACTTACAAAAATGTCCAGAGCTTGGCTGTGGCAAATTGCAATGAAGATGAAGATGCGGTTGGATCGATGGCTTGACAATGGTCTTCACATAAATAAAGATTAATGGTGCTTTTGGTTAGTGTTCAAATAGTCATCAATGAAAGCAAGTTATGAGATTGTAGCATATTAGTAAAGCTTAATTTGTTGCTTGTATCAGCTTGTAAGACGTTTCCATTCGTAAATCACACCCATGATTATAAAATTTAAAAGGAAAAAGTTGGGCCGCTATGAGAAGCTGTTTTTAATTGGGTAGAGCAAATCAGTCATTCATTCATTTGGATTCGTATTGGATACAATCCTCTTCGATGATAATCTTTAATGGTCGACCATTGTCCTGGAAAATGTGTAGCTGAGCTATAAAGAGCCGTTATGCAACTTGATCAACGGCCCACCGCCCAGCTCCATTCTACTTAATGGTAGAGTGGGCTTTTGCTTTTACACAAAAAGGGAAATGACTTAATATATTTATTCGAATCTTAATTCTTTAGATCACTAAATTCATTTAGTGAACAAATGAAATTTTCAAGACATGAATAAGTTAATACAATTGCAAAGCTTAGCAATATTTGCTACCTAATTTTTGAAAAATAAGATAAAAGATGGGAGCAATACGTTTGCATATAAACAATTAAAAGTTTAAGACACGCGTTTGCTAAGGAACCAAATGAACCCAGCGTGCAACACTTGGAACACCCTGGTTAACAGCGAACACCATGTAATAACTCGGCGGCGCAACCGCTCCATTCGGCGGTGCCGTACATTTAATCCTGTACTGACCACCCTCCGGGACTGACGGCGAAACGACAAGTTTCACTAATCTTTGACCTTGTGAAAACGAATGTGTCGAAAAAGGTGCGCTCCCCAAATTGACCTCAATCATTCCCACAACAGACAACGGAACCGACACCAAAACATCGAACGCCTCGCCATAACGTACCGTCTCCGGAATTTCCTCGATCACGGGTCGTAGGTTGGCCCGATCAGGGGACAAATACTCGGGCGAAAACGCTTCCAGCCTTAATTCCGTCGGAAATTCAGCGGCGAATTTGTAAAAGTAATGTGGGTTACTGCCTGCGATTAAAACCCGCCCGTCCGGTAACAAGTTGGCAGTTGAATGGTACAATCTGGGAATACTTCCCGGATTCAAAGTCATGAACCGTAACCCAACCGGTTGATCCGGTCGGTAAAGGACCGGGTATAAACACGGGTTAGACGCCATCTCGAAACCTTGGGTACCGGCCTGAGCTCCGTTGATGATCAAAGAATCACCTGTGGGAAGCATCACCATCTCTCCCATGATCCGTCCGTAAGGCATATCCTCCATCTCCCAACCCGGTGTTGGATCGGTGGCTACAATCCTCCCGCAGCTACCGTGCGCCGGTGTGTCGGTACTCCTTTCGATGAACGCTCCGTATTGGGCTCCGCCGCAGACGACAATCACGGCCGTCGAAAAGTCGCCTTCAAGTGCTAACATCACCGACGATCCAGCTGATGGATAATTCCGTGGGCCTCCCGATAATGCTGGGTAATCTCGAATTACGGTATTTTCCTTGTGGTCGTACATGACGGCTTTGTTGTTGGCGAAGATGAAAAGGTGGCCGTTGGGAAGGAGGTGAACGTAAGGGTATAAGTTGTCCATTTGATTATCTTCAACGTCGGAGAGGAATTTCAGTTCAACGGCGCCGTTTTCGTTCATCCTCGGAGGATAGTACTCGACGGTGTTGGTTCCTCTCCCCCCGACGATAATTACGGCGCCGTCTGGTAATATCTGGTTCGTTGCGTACCATCTGCCACTAGCTAACTCCACGTCTTTAAGCTCCACCCAATCGCAATTCCCTCCGGGTTCACACGGTTCGAATTTCCGGATCTTTTTAAACCCGTCCAAGTCTCCTCCGGTTTGTAAAAGTGTTCCGTCGGGGAGGAACTGTCCCGATGAGCACCAAGTGTCGGTGAGGATCATCAACGGTCGGATTTGGTTTGTTTGCAGATCGAAAACGACGGAATGAGCAAAACAGTCCTTTTTAAGCACGACGTCATACCTGTCGTAACGGCAGTGGCCTTTGGGAAGCATTTTACGGGAAGGTCCGATGTTGGTTCGGTCCAAAAGAACCACCGTGTTAAAACGAGTAACCGCCGTGTGCATGGAGGAAATGCCGGCGCTTGGGACTATGAGCTCCCACGTGCCGGGGAGCTGTGCCCGTGCCTTCAATATAATCGTGAAAATCAAGATTTGAAGAAGCCATCGAGAAGGAGAAGAAGAATCATATTTTGCCATTGCAAAGAAATTAGAGTGAGAGTGGAAAGTGGCAAAAAAGACACTACCTTAAGGAAAAGCTGAAGAGTTAAGGGCGTGAACTTGAACCGTTGGATTACGTAGAATCTAATGATCGTACGACAACCTAATTTGCGCTGGACCAAAAAAAATAGAAGAAAAAGTAAGCCTTCCAAGTTCACTGAATTCAACGTTAACGTTGTAAAGGTGGGTCCCTGAAAGTCCATTATACTGACACGTAAGCAGCAGCAGGGTTGTATTTTGAATAGGAGGACCGGGTGACGTAAGCATAGAAATGTATAGGTTTGAGAAAGTGTGGCACTAGTAATTTTTAGGGATAAGAACACCTCAGACTCTGTCGTTTTGCAGTGGCAATCGGAGGAATATTATTGAGAAAGGTGCCACTGCTTTAAGCGGACAAGAATAAAATGGCCACCATACGAATCTTCCAACTAGAATAAATCAAATAATATTAATTGATTATTTTCTTTAAAACATTTTAAAAAAATTAAAAATTCAATTAAAATTAAAAAAAATAATATATACAACGGTAATATGTTGACAACTAAATATGTTGATAAACTAAATTTAAATATTTAATAGTAATAACATAAAAATGTATATAACAATGATAATATGTTAACACAATTCAATTAAGAGGTATTTTTTATAATTATGAATATTTAAAAATAAAAGAAAACTAAGATTTAAAATATGATAAATTAACAAAATAATTAAATAATTTTTAAGACGATGTTAGATTTAATCATAAAAATAGGTATTATAAAATTGATAATTTTTTTTGTTTTGTTAACAAATAATTAAATAAAATTAAACAATTTATTTCAATTTAAAATGTAAAATAAAATTATGATAAATTTTATTATAAAATAAAAATAATGGTTAACAAGATATTTAAAATTGATATATATATATATATATAAAAGGTTAGGATCTACTTGCACAATGTAAATTTTTTTAGTTTTGCACAAATTTATGAATATTGGAAAATTGAAAACATATAAATGAGATTGACTCGTTTTCCCCTAGTAAATATGTTTATATTTACTACTATTAATTTCATCTATATATTTTAACTCATCCAACGGTCTTAAATATGTGTAAAATTAAAAGAATTTACATTACGTAACAAAATACTTGTAACACCCCAATTTAGGGGCTAAATTTAAGAAATTATAAAGTGATGGATTTAATTGGTATTTTTGGAAGGAATCGGGGATTAAATTGTAAGATTTCAAAGTTAGCAGACCATTTTAAGAAGTGTAGGAAGTTCAGTGACTAAACTCTTGGTTTAGCCAATTTCCTTTATGAGAGAATTTATAACCCCCTCCCCGTGCTGCAGAATGTATAATTTTCCAGTTTTTCTCTTCCGTTGACCCAACTTTCAACTCCGATCTACTCGCCGTCCGACCTCCAAACGACGAGCCGAAACCACCATCGTGTTCGTTGTCAATCGAGGAACAAAACCCCTCAAACCTTTTGTCGTGAATCATCGCCGTTCGTTGTGAATTTCAGTCGGAAGTATCGTCGGTAATAACTCGGTTTTAGTTGGTTTTTCATCGATTCACGACAATCGGGTCATCCGTTTACGACACCTCCCGCACCATCGTGTTCGTTGCATCGTTCCGAGTTTGCCGGTGTCATCCTTGGTCTCCGTCAACGGCGGCGCGTGAGGAGGTGAAGCGGTCAAAGTTTCCGATTCGTTGAAATCGAGCTCTTCGCCGTTCAAAATTATGAACCGAGCTTTGTAAGTATCTCGAAATCGCTCAAAATAATTTTTAGAAATTTTTCCGGTTGACCCGTTTACCCGACCCGTTTACCCGACCAGTTGACCCGACCCAACCCGTTGACCCGACCCGTTGACCCGTTGACCGTTGACCCACGTTGACCACTGTTGACCAAAACTTTGACCGGCTTTGATCGGGCATTAAACGACCTTTGACTTCGACCGAGTATACCTACCCTGACATTTTTCGACGTTCTAAATCCGATTCCGCTGTCCGTTTTTCGAAATTCGAACCCGAAGACCTCGAAATTGCCGGTCAAACCCGTTGACTTTGATTTTGACCGAATATTCCAAATTTCCGAAAAGTCATATTTTATGCTTTCGACGTCCTGAATCCGAATCCGAAGTCCGTTTCGCCAAATTCGAACCCGGTAAGCCGTCTTTCACCGATTTATCACCCGATTCGATCCGTTTATCGTAATTAAGCTTCGTTTCTGATATAATTTATGTTGTTATGTATCTGAGGAATTATTGGAAGTTGAATTGAAGATCAAAGGCGTTCGAATGGAATTTTTATGGCCGATCAGTATTGCACGGAAATTGAGGTAATACTTTACTACCTCTTTATGCTTTATAGAACATGTTGGTATTGGTAAATGCATGAATGGAAATGTTTGGTCGCATATGTGTAATTAATGAAGATCTACACTAGATACGAATACGGTAGAAAGTAGATAACTGAATATGGCTCAGATGACTATTATAAGAAATTGGAGGATAGTTGGAATTAAATTACAAGTTCTGGAATTAAGTAATAAAAGAATCAACCATGGATTGTAGATTATAATTTATCTCATTAAAGGTACTTAGATGATAAATTATGAGAATATTTTGATTAGGGAAAATTACGAAATTACCCTTATGTTGGAAAATGACAAGAATTGTCTCTGGAAGTGGATTAATAAATCTGAAAATAATTATTGATCTGCTAAAACTATTGATGTGCATAAGGAATGTTAGTTTTACTTGGAAATTATGGAGAATCGGTTTTTAACCCCAAGAAGGTTTATGCTAGATACTAGAAGTCTTTTAAGGAATCATCTCAAGATCAAAGAATGTTCGAGGAAGCAATTAATCATAGGATCTCTATATTATATTATTTTCATTAAGAGTTAATATCGAAATTATATGGTTAAGAAATTACGAAAATACCCTTGAGAGATAAAATAGTCTTAATTGACCCTGAATGAGAAAGTACCTTGAGGATTTGTACTTAACTCGATTAAGTACGGATTTAATTGTTAAGATCATGTTTTTGTACAGAAAAATTCATGATATTCCGTTTGTAAAATCTGAGAAGACACTTGACCCGAAAATATTCGAATAATGAGTAAATACTTGAAGAGTAATTTATCGGGGGTATTCTGCTGTCAGAATTGTTCGAAAGGACTGAGTAAATGATAAGATTGAATTAAATAATAAGATCGGATGGCAGGAAAAGATTGAAATACCGTAGATCTGTAAAATGACCAAAATACCCCTGTAGTGTAAATGACTCAAGAATGTCACCAAGCTCAGGAATGATTGGATATCCTCGAGCTCTGAAATGAATGGAATAAAACTGAACACCAAAATTACCAAAATACCCTTATGACCTATATTAAGTAAATGTATTGGATTAATTAAGGAATCCAAATAAGCATAGGTGTTAGACTACCTTTAAAAAGTTATGGAGCACAACTTAAGTAAGCCGATCAACTTTAATGATATGTCAGTACCTGAACGACATAGATATTACTTGAATGTGTGTTCGTCTACTCAAGTTTAGCTCGATGATAATTTTAGAAGTATTCAGCTCAGCTCAACTCTAGATCGCATTCAGTATTAAGAATTGGACGTTTGTTCGACAAATCAACCAAGAAGACCAAATTGAATGGATCTGAAGTACAATATATCTGAAATTCAGGAACGTTTGTATTACTATAGAAAATCCCGAAGTAACTGGAATGGACTTGAATGCTAAATGAACTAAGCAACTTCAATGATTGAGGATTAAGTAAGTGATTAGGATAAGCCTGGAAATTCGGATGAATTTACATGATGTATCGTCCTTATGGAACATGAACTACAAATCAAGCACGTCAGTATTTCATGATATCGTGGAAGCTTGGAAATGAAATAAAGACCATTGGAATATCTATTCAGCGATGATTCTGAAGATGATCTATGGACAAGAATGTGTGGTATTAAAGAGTAAATACCCTAGAAGGAAAATGAATTAACCAGTCGACATAGATTATTAAGGTTCTGAATCTTCGTTCTCAAGTTGTTCGATTATTCGATCAATTGACATGGATGTAAAGGATTCTGAATACCCTTCTGATTACGTACAACTTCTGAAAACTATCCGAATAAGATATGATCCTGATAATTCACATTCTGAATAACTGATGATTCTGTCAGTTAATGAACTCTTCCAATAGTGATTCTAAATTCCAACATTCTATCGACATACTAAAGAACTATGTTTCTCTGCCTGATACAGTACCTCTAAATAATACCTGTAAACTCTGGTGTGTTCCCTAATTACATGAATATTTTATCTGATTTCAAATTTGAATTCTGTTATGATATTGACCTGGATTCTGATCTGATATTGACATGGATTCTGATCTGATACATGACCTGAATTATAATATGATACTTGACTTGAATTATGTTTTGATTTTTGCTATATCCGTTTACGGACAGAACATGTTTTATTGGGGGGTATTGTTGGAGGAAGATTACTTGGAGGCTCATTGGCTGTGTGCTCAGGGCCTTACTTGCAGGCTCCTCGGCTTTGTGCTCAGGGCCTTACTGTTCGTGACGGGGTTGTATGGTTCTGGGGAACCTACACATTTTGTTCGTGACGGATGGGGGTATATATATATGTTTTAAAAAGATCTGAAAAGTTACATGGTTTTTGGGAACACACTAGAAAACCTATTCTGATCTCCTGAACTCAGTCATCCGAAATATTTCTCTGAAACGAAAGCTCATTGTCCGTTACCACCTGAAATATCAGTAGGATCTCTGCTCAACATAAAAATCTGTAAATATCTGAACCAATAAGGAAAATATGTTTATCTATATCTGCACATTTTTCAGCATCATCTGGTAGTTCTGTATTACTGAGCTTTCCAAAGCTCACTCTATTACTCACCTTTTCAGGTTAAAAGAATTGTACCAGTGCATCTATCGACTTCAGTAAGGGAGTTCTTCCGGCGTTGTTGCAGAGTATGG